CTAGTGTGTGGATAAACATCTCAATGTGGTATACAAAATATTTGGTTCTGTATAAATTTCAAAGTACTTTGTGAACATAAATTTGTCATAAGTAAAGGAGTGTTTGATCCATGGTGAAAACATAAAAAGCACTAAATTGTATGTTTTATCAAAAAGATATAACAAATACTAACTGTTGAGATATATTTGTTAGGAAATCTATATATATCCCAAATATTTGTTGAAACATGTCTGTTGTGAATAAGTTGGCTGATTTGCACATATTCTGTTAAATATGAGGCAGAATATTGGGGGAAAATTTTACTTTAGATTGCAATATCCAATAATACTCTTTTTTGCTACTGCCAAAGAGGCAGGAAATACCCTATTTTGGTATATTTTAATTCAAGTAATTGGATATTCAGTGTCTTTCAGTAATCTCCTTAGAAAGAGGCAAATGAAGTTGTAGTGCTTAATCACCTGTTGCCAGCATGCCAGTGGGCACAACTGAAGTCATGGATCATTAGATGCAAACAGTGGCACTAATTAGCCTGTAATGGATTTGGAAATATTGAACAATATAAACACGATGACACTTGCAATGATTTAATTTAGGAAGAAACGTTTTGTATGCTTCAACACATGTGACAATCACCAGTGGTTTGTAAGGAATCCTATCAACAAATTTTAGTGATTTATTACAGATACTAAGAATGGGCTACAGGCTAATTTACTTTGTGGAAAGAATAGCTACAAATTCTCTTACCAGATTAGCTTTTACAATTATGGATTGACTAGTGTTTTTTTCAGCATTTAGAGCATAGTTAACCCAGACATGTATTTTGGCATTATTTTCATTGTCCACTGGTCACATTATGTATGCAGTGCTTTTAATGTACAATGTTTATCCTGATATTTTGTTATAAGAAATTCCTCATTGATCCTGGGTTTTTTTGGGAGGTGTTCAGTATTCTTCTTCAAATTAATGATGACACAGCTGGTAACATTTGAAAAGACCTTGAGGCCAGAGTTCCTTAACATACCTTACAAACCAAATCATTGCTGCCTAAATCTGTAATTTTATTCCCTTCATGAAATTTGGTTACAACTAATCGTTTAAAATCAGAAAATGAGGTGTATGTGAATTTCTTTTTCATATGATGAAATCACTTCTGAATATGATAATCATTACCCACCCATGTATTAAGATATCAGGTGTTTAGAGCAGTGGAATCCGTGGTCAGATTTGTCTGAAAAACAAACAAATTGAAATAGATATTTAAACAACCATCTGAGCTTGTCACATAGGTAAAGTTGCACAATAACCTATACTGTCAGTAGAAAGTGTGTTCTTGAAGGCCTTTATTGCCATGATATTAACACATTTGATACACTCATTTGGTTAAAACCACATTACCATCTTCATATTTGGCAAATAAACAGCCATCAACATTCACACCACTCCACAAGCCAGAGCGGACCAAGATAATCCACTGTCATTACATTTGAGGGTTAGGATTCTTAACAGCTCTCAGTGCTTGAATGGTGCTTCATAGTTCTACTGATGGATACAATGTGTGAAGCCCATTTCTGGTGTCCCCTACCGTGATGTTGCTGGAATATTGCTAAAAGCTGCATAAAACCAAACTCAGTCAGTCAGTCAGTCATAGTTCTACTGAATAAAACTGACAGAAACCATAAACACAGTAAACAAGTTTTTCTTGTTCAAGCAGGACTACTCACATGGTAACATTTACATTAGTCACCTTGCCTGACAAGAAACAAATTCTTAACTCCGATCTACATGCATGTCAGTGACTGACAGTGGGTGTGTTTTGCATAAAATCAAACGTTCTTAGTAGTTAATAGTAGCACTGGCTAAAGAATTGATAATCGGAAATGTTGTCAATGGGAAGAAATATTAACTGTGTCATCGATAGTGTCTTACATAAACTATTATAAGGAAATGAAATGTTAATTTGGAACACAGTGCACAGAGCAGTGATAGTGTTTTACATAAACTATTATGAGGAAATGAAATGTTAATTTGGAACACAGTGCACAGAGCAGCAACTTAATTCTTTGGCCCCATCTAAATTATGCTCAGAAGGCAGCTATTGTTAGTTATCCATGCTTATATGTGTCTCGATGTTTCAATATGTTGATTTTATTGTATATTTCTGTGCCAAGTTACATCTACAATATTTATCTATAATTGACTGATATTTAGTTAACAATCTCTATGATCAATGCATCTATGATCAATATCAGTCGCCAACCCTGGTTAACAGAAAACCTGAAAACAAATTCTGCGTGCAGTATGTATTATTATGGGACTGGCCATTTTTAAAAGGGGTGGGCTGTTAAGATTTTTTTGATGCAGTATTGCTAAATAATGACCCTACCCAAATGCTTGCCATACTTTTTAATGAACTTCCCTATGTCCTGGTGCAAAGACAAAAGCGAGAGCTCTTTAGATTTCATTGTAAAATGTCCATGTTTTTCCATGTTCATATCAAAATGTGTATATTATTTTATATTACCCTCTCCTAGAGACAGTCATATTTTTCGGTGACCGTTCCCTTTTCACCTATTTTTGAAAACTTTTTGCAAGTCACACGGCTTGATTTAAGCACTTAGAATGTGCAGTGCTGCAATTAGATAATGCAATCTCATATTTATACCAACTTGCACCAAGTGCATATTTATTAATTAATATTTTGCTACTCAAAGAACACATACTTCAGGTTGAAAACAGAATGAGGAAGTGGTATGGACCAGTGACTGATGACAATGAGGATAATGATTAAACAACTGTTACTGTCCCTGTAATGAAATTTTATGAGTAAAGTTTAATGACCTTATCAGAATAATGATGTTCTAAATCAGTAATACCTAATCTCAAACATTATGTATATTTATATATTGAGCAGCAGGTGCAACCTGTTTTTGTCTGGTATGACAAGGTTATTACCTAAGGTAATGTCCTGAATGACCAGTGAATTCCTGGGTCAGAATCACCTACAACAACAAATGCATTGGCGTCATCATAATGGTTAACCGGAAGAAAACCCACATAGAACACAGTTATTCCATGACCGTAAGCCTTTTGGTATAACACAGCCTTTAATATTGTGGGGTGGTAGGGTAGCCTAATGGTTTAAGTGTTCGCTCGTCATGCCAAAGACCTGGGTTCGATTCCGCACATGGGTACAATGGGTGAAGCCCATGTCTGGTGTCCCCCCTCTGTGATATTGCTGGAATATTGCTAAAAGCGGTCATAAACAATACTCTCACTCACTGTAACCAAGCTTGTATAACTAACTCACATCTCTGAATGACATAATATCAACCCAAAGAAAACTTTGTCTCAAGCTTACAAAATAAATTGCCAAAAGACCTTAAGATATGGTACTTGGTGTTCCCTGCCTGGTGCTCGGCATTAATGGGTAAAACAAGGACTGGTCGTCTCGGAGTCAGTAATCTGAGTGGGATATTCATGCTTAACTGCGGCATGGTATCTCAGTGAGCTAGCACTATAAAACCAGCTGAAGTCTGGGCTAGTACAAGCAGCCACACATACACACGCATGCACATCGTCACATGAGCGAAATATTGTCAAGTACAATGTTACACCCCATTTCACCTCACAAAATTAATCAATCAATTCAGAACAGTGAATATGGTTTATGCCGCTTTTAGCAATATTCCAGCAATATCACTGCGTGGAACGCCAGAAATGGGCTTCACATGTTGTACCCATGTGGGGAATCGAACCTGGGTCTTCATTGTGGCGAGTGGACGCTTTACCTACTAGGCTACCCACCGCCCCAAATTCAGGACAGATAGCCCTTGATTTGTCTTAGCAAAGGTTATTCGCCAAAGGTTCCTTCATCTCCTGATGGCACTGTAGTGCACAGTGTTGTTTTTGTTTACGTGAATGTAATTTTAGTGCAGTCACGAAACCGCACCACAGTAATCCATTGCATGATTAACAGGAGTAAAAAGAACTGAAAACTTTCAAATGTAATGATCAACTTCTCAATGTTTGTAAACTCTCCATTTGACCTCTGACTTATTTGAATGTACTCTATGCTAACTCAATGTAAATATTGAGATAGTCAAACAGCAACACCAGCAAAACTTTGGCAACTGTCAGTTTTGATTAGAGAAAATGAGTGAATGAGTTTAGTTTTACGCTGCCTTTAGCAATATTCCAGTAATAGCTCAGCAATATCTCAGCAGGGGAACACCACAGGGGGTGGAAATAACCCATTGCCCGACATCCGAGTCCAGTGTTTTTTTCTGTCGGGCAAGCAAATTTGCATATTACACTGTACCGGTGTCCAGTTGACTTTCCAATGTTATTTATGTTGTTTATTTTAAAAAATCAACAAGAAAACGGCCGGTATAGTGGAAAAATTATCAGGGCAAGTGATTTTACATGTGACACTGTTCCGGAGTACACTAGCAATTTTAAAGTTATTTCCACCCCTGCACCAGAAATAAGCTTCACACATTGTACCCATGTGGGGAATCAAACCTGGGTCTTCGGTGTGACGAGTGAATGCTTTAACCACTACGCTACCCCACCACCTCTTTATGAGAAAAGAATCTTGCATGCACATTGAGATATGGAAAAAACAAAATTTTGAAGGTCTACATAGAAACGTTAGTGGAAATTGTTACTGTTAAGTAAAGGTTTTGCCATTATCTCTGTTAAGTCCTGTCTGAACAAGCAGACCTGTTATTCAGCCATAGATGTAAGAACCTAATGAACTGTGCCTCTACTTTGGAATGTTGGCACCTACTGTTGCTCATGGCCCTTGGGGATAGTTGAATCAAGTGATCAGTAGTTTTGCTAGTACCCTCTTCAAATAACTTCCTCCTCTCCAAAGTTAGCTACATTGCTGAAACGGTAAAGCTCCCCAAAACACTGGCATGTACATGTTCTTCTTAATAGTGGTACTGTCGACTATATCATAAGGTTTCACGGTGGAGAGGTCACAGAGTGAACACACCAGAAACTTGGGATTGTGGGTTCAACTCCTTGTCTGTCCCAATTATGTCTCTTGGTTTGTGGGCACCATATCCATGCTGTTAGGTTTTATCAAAGTTGAAAATTCTTTGACCTACATAAATTTGTGCATTTCTCCATTATTAAGGATAATACTGCTGAAAGTGGCGTGAAACCCAACTCTCCCTGAAATAGCAGCTTATGAGAATACAAATGGAATGAGTATTAAGAGGAAAGGTTACCAGTCTGTGAGTTCATTCGCACAGAATGTGATCAGTTGGTTCAGTCTGACTAAAAGGTTCAGGCTCAGGTGACCTGTAGAGTATCAGTGTGGCAGTAGGTTCAGTCTCACAGATGGTGACCTGTAGAGTATCAGTTGTCGCTGTGTGGCAGTAGGTTCAGTCTCACAGAAGGTGACCTGTAGAGTATCAGTGGTTGCTGTGTGGCAGTAGGTTCAGTCTCACAGAAGGTGACCTGTAGAGTATCGGAGGTTGTTGTGTGGCAGTAGGTTCAGTCTCACAGAAGGTGACCTGTAGAGTATCAGGGATTGCTGTGTGGCAGTAGGTTCAGTCTCACAGAAGGTGACCTGTAGAGTATCGGGGGTTGCTGTGTGGCAGTAGGTTCAGTCTCACAGATGGTGACCTGTAGAGTATCGGTGGTTGCTGTGTGGCAGTAGGTTCAGTCTCACAGGTGGTGACCTGTAGAGTATCGGTGGTTGCTGTGTGGCAGTAGGTTCAGTCTCACAGATGGTGACCTGTAGAGTGTCAGTGGTTGCTGTGTGGCAGTAGGTTCAGTCTCACAGGTGGTGACCTGTAGAGTATCAGGGGTCACTGTGTGGCAGTAGGTTCAGTCTCACAGAAGGTGACCTGTAGAGTATCGGAGGTAGGTCAGTCTCACAGAAGGTGAGTAGGTTCAGTCTCACAGTGGCAGTAGGTCAGTCTCCTGTGGTGACCTGTAGAGTATCAGTGGTTGCTGTGTGGCAGTAGGTTCAGTCTCACAGAAGGTGACCTGTAGAATATCGGGGGGTTGCTGTGTGGCAGTAGGTTCAGTCTCACAGGTGGTGACCTGTAGAGTATCAGTGAAAGTTGCTGTGTGGCAGTAGGTTCACTCTCACAGAAGGTGACCTGTAGAGGTATCCGTGGTTGCTGTGTGGCAGTAGGTTCAGTCTCACAGGTGGTGACCTGTAGAGTATCGGGGGTTGCTGTGTGGCAGTAGGTTCAGTTTCACAGATGGTGACCAGTTGAGTATCCGTGGTTGCTGTGTGGCAGTAGGTTCAGTTTCACAGATGGTGACCAGTTGAGTATCATGAGGTCTAGGCATGGCAGGACGTTCAGTCTCACAGAAGGTGAGAATTTACCTTGTACGTCTATATAATTTCGAGACTGATTTTTTAAAGGTTTCAGTGTTTTTTGCCATGCACTGTATCGAGTGACAACTGAGATAGACAAATACACTTTTCCAGCTTCTCGGATGCAAAAAACTATAGCCATTACCAGCTAACTTTCCCCAGAGCTAGTAATCATTTCATCCTAGTGATACTATTAGCCCATATAGGTAATGAAGCACTCATGTTAATTACGAAAACTGTCTAGCTGCAGCCTAGCAGCCTTGTCTCGCAGACTTTCCTCAGATCTGATTTGGTGATTATGTCTGAGAGAAATGTTGGATGACGGTTTTCTCCTCTGTGGTGTTGGATGGATTGGTGGGCTTGTTTCTACGACTGGGGTTACGACAGATGCATGTCTGCATCACATTGACGGAAATATTGTAGAAATCTTTGGAAACTTAGTTTTCTTGATCAGTATGGTGTCTAAATAGCTAAGACATAAGTCTTGCTTGTAGTTGTTGATAAGTTTTGTTTTACACCGCTTTTAGCAATATTCCATGAATATCACAACAGGGGACACCAGAGATGGGCTTCACACATTGTACCCATGTGGGGATTCGAACCCAGCTCTTTTGTGTGACGAGAGTGGGCTTAACCATTTGGTTACCCCACCAACCCTATTTGTTGATAAATGTCACTGATATGTTAAAGTTTTGGATGCATTAATACAAACCACAGAGATGTTCCTAGTATTCTAAGAGCTGTTGGTAGACAAAGAGGGAAAATTCATTATTTGGTTCAAAATATTCTTACTTTTAGAGTTATTTTAAGATTTAGTTCAATACAGCAGTGGATAACTATGCATTGAAGACTCTTCTCCTCTGTTGATCCAGTTTTCAGAGATATCAAGTTATCTTATAAAAGTTTAAACTTTAAGAGTATGTTGATATAAATTTTAGAATGTTATTGACATTGGCACTACTGGAAGCCAATTTTTCCATTCAGTTTGTTAGCTCTAATAGCTGTTTTTGTCCAAAGCAATTTCTATAGCTTAATGTAAACTTCCAAATGAAAATAACAGATATTGTTCTGAAAATTATCTTCTATCACTAGTTTAGGAAACACACATAAAATACTGTCCATTTTGATTGAAGATTGATGGCAAAGCTTTCGCTTTCAGAAGCAGAGTTACCTCCCTTTGACCTAATGTTCATTGACAGTCATCAAATTAATTTCAGGTTGTGGTGAAATAAAGTTTCTTTTCTAAACCTGTTGTTTTTATTTCTGAGTTTTTATTCAATTATGATTAATGATATGCATAGCCTGTATTAAAGATGTTCTTCTTTCAGGAATTGTATTCATGCCTTAGATTCATGTTATTACTTTCCGAATTTCAAGAAATTGGGCACTGTCTTACAAATATCTCAACATATATTTTGCCCTCATAAGCCTGTTTGCCTTAATATTGGAGTGTTATCAGACCTTTGCATATGTACATACAGCGAAAGACTTCTTGTTTATGTTGAACAAGCCATTGAAGGTGGTAGAAATTTATATTTAACATAAAACCTGTTAAAAAAGTGTGACGTTCACAGACAGAAAACGGCAGCCTGATGTAACCTGGATTCAACCCTGTCTCATTATAATCTGATCTTTCACAAGATTCAAATTCTCTCTCTGTGTGTATGATCTTAGGATTTTTACATAGAAGGTCATGTTTAAATGAAGGATTGAATATGGAAAAACACAATCTTTTAAAAGAAGTCTGTGGGTCTTGAGACATCTTCTGTCAGCTTCAACTATATTTTTTACCATGTTGATTTTGGAGATTTTGATTTGTACTAGTGAAAAGAGCAATTTTAGGGCACACCTGTAGTTTTTACTATCAAAATTCTATTGTTAGTTTGTTATAAGATACAGAAATCATATGTGTTGGCATAAATATTTCCCTCACTCATTAACAACAAGCATGAACCCTTACCTCCTAAGACCTGTGGAGGAGCCCTTAGACTCTTGTACAGTGAAGTGTCATATCTGAGTAATACATGGTTTTCATGACATTTTGCTAAGTCACTTTATGCTCTTTCAAGTAATGAAAAATGGCGCTTGCAGAAACTCTATTCCTGGTCTTCTGTCATAAAATGTTGTACTGGGTAATATGCTGTTCGCTGTTGTAGGGAAATAACAGAGTTAACACACACCGGTGACGATACGTTTTGAAACCAGTTGTGTTGCCCTACATAATGTATAGCACTTAACGTTGGGGCTTTAAGCCTTTTCGCAGTACACAACTTTGCACTGGTGAACACCAGCTTGCCCTACCTTGAGGAAAAGCTGTAGCATGCTTCACTGGACAGGAGGGTCCAGAAGTTTCCTGCATAAACAAGGTGGATGTTACACCTCATATTACCTGGCTGGTATTGAATAAAATGATTTTATTTCACCATGTCCCAGTTCCTCCATTGTTTGAGCACAGCATTTTTAATACTATGAATAGAGGCCGTTTTCAGAAAGCTTTTCAATAAATCACTTTCCGAGATTGAAATCTATCAGGCATGTACTGATGATCAAGCTGTGATCGCTCTTCCGTGGCCAGTGTTGGTTTAGAATCTTAGCTGTCTTGATACCGTCCCCTGAAAGATTTCATGGTTTGCTGTTGCAGCAAGCACACAGTAATATGTTTTACCCTTAAACATGTATCTGGTAGTTATAAGATATATACCATGCCCATTGGTCACCTTGCTGTAAGATAATGACCTGAAGTCTGTCCTGAGTCCATGGACATCTGTGACATCTTAGTTAGGACCCATCCCCAGAAAGCAGGTGTTAACTGCAATTACACTTGTATAGTGATACACGTTTCCTGAGTGTATTGACCGGGTGTTGTTTCAGTGCACTGCCTTAAGGGACAGAGATGTTGTTAGCACATAATGGTAGTACTTGGCTAGACTAGGCAAGTGTCATTGACACCATGTGTTCCTGCTGTTTGCTACTGGTCAACAAATGAGGGCTGCCATTAGTTACATTTGTTTGTATATCATCAGGATTTCCTTGAGGGAGGATGTAGATCTTTTCAGGAACAGAAACCTGTCACTGATAATTTTTGTTCATTACCTGATATGCTGTAATACCTCTGAGGATTAGGATGATTCTGACTCCCATTTGTCAATATGTGCAGTTGATTTTCAAACAAAATACTTAGCTCGCTGTTCACTTTAATCCAAATGGATGATGCTAAAAATAGCATGTTAACAATGTTCAAAGAAAGTGACAAAAGTGATTAATTCTACCTTTTTTTTATGACAGTTGTGTCAGGGTACAACAATAAAAGGGTGGTGAGGTAGGTGGTTGGTAAAGGTGGTCACTTGTCAAAATGAAGGTCTGAATTTGATTCCCCACTTAGGAAATTGGGTGGAGCCAATTTCTGGTTTCTCCTTCAGTCACATTGCTGCGATGATGCTAAAGTGGTGTAAAACACCACTCACTCACTCACTCACTCACTCACTCACTCACTCACTCACTCACTCACTCACTCACTCACTCACTCACTCACTCACTCACTCACTCACTCACTCACTCACTCACTCACTCACTCACTCACTCACTCACTCACTCACTCACTCACTCACTCACTCACTCACTCACTCACTCACTCTGGGTTTTCAGTTAAGGCAGGATTGATCATAAAGTTATGTTACAAGTTATTCAGTTTTCACAAATGTAATAACTGAAGCCAGAGGCTAGCTAATGTTCTCAGTGTGTTTTAATAAATCACAATAGATACATGATCTGTTTACCGTGTTGCGGTGGTGGTTGATCCTCTCTGGAGAGGTTGTTGGACAGGATCTATTTGTGTCACTGACTTGTGTTAAGGGCTGCAGTCTGTGATCAATTGCAAGTTGCAGAGTCAGAAATAACTGCCAATCAATAGATTAAGGCAGGATGCCTACCAAGCTGGCCTGGTGGCAGTCTTGTTTAACTGTAGGAGCCCCTGTGCTTGTGTTGTTTGGCACAGACAGCATCCCTTGAATGACAAATCTTGCTGCGTCCATGTGATCACTGTCTAAACATTGAAACAACAGGTTAAAGACAGTTTCCAAAGTCCGGGTCAGCCAGTACAGTGCGATTTCCCTGACTCTAGGTTCAGGAAGTGATAGACACAAGAAGCCTACGGAGGAAAAGGTTTTGTGGAGGGTGCACATGGTGCAGGAGAGGAGGGGGGAGAAGATGAAGGGGGGAGGGTTGTTGGTCCTGGTGGACTAAAGGAAGTGGTACCCAAGTGTAGTCAAACACTGATGCGCAACCAGTGATCTATTTTATCCATTGCTTGCGTTAAATACTTGAGATTGTAGGATGATGAAATGGCAGTTGTTGCCGGATATCTGGCCATGGTGTAGGATGTTCGTTGTGTGAGATAGTGCTGAAGTGGGGATGTAGTAGATGTGCTGACTTCCTACATCCACACTAGACTGATTGTCAATATTCATGGGAACTGACAATGGGTGTGTTAAGAGAAGGATTGATTGTTCTGTTGAGCATGGTCATCTATTACTAATATTAATGCCAGAAATTAGTACTATGTGCCTTGTGAACAATGAAGAATTATGTCCCTTTATTTTTGCATTCCATTGTGATGAGTTAATTTATGCCCAAAAGGCTTATTAAATTAGATGCAGATACTTAATACTTCTTAAATGTAATGAATAAATATATCCATGAATTGTTTTAAAAAAATCACTTTTTTGATCTCGTTTTATTTAACTCTTTTCACATTTGTCGTGTATGTTTGCTAAATTAAAAGAAAAAAGTATGTACATTTGGTGAGATAAGATATATTATGGCATTGCATTCCATAGAGAAACTGTGGCAATATTCCGTAAATTACAAAAAATGTACAGTAGGTAAAAACTGCACAGATACATTCCACATGTAAATGCAGTACATGATAACATGATAAGACAGGTTTGAAAGTTTTTTTAAGTGTTTCATTTGATATTGGTTCCAGATGTGGAAGAGCCGTCCTTCCATGCTAGGTTTGAATGTAGCTTTGATAGCAGGTCCCCTGTCACTCGTGCCATGCCACATCACCAGTGGAACTTTCATTACTGCTGAATCAGCGTTATAACACTGACTGCCTCTGTCTGCACACAGGGCTTTATTCCCCGGCATTGCAGGTTCTGCACTACTTAAGGAGATTACCTGATTTAACCAGCTTAGTCGTAATATCACATCTGGGTCAATTGAATCAATGTGCGACTTGTATGAAATATTCAGTACAGTTGACTTTTCTTCGTGAATTCATATTAATAATGACTTAAACAAGATGATGATTTATTTCAAATGTTTGAAATATCCATGGCTGCAGATATGGAAAACATGCCAAAACTGAGATACAGTTTCAGGGCTGTTTATCAGTTCATTTCAATGGACATTAACCGATTATTTTTAAAGAATGCACAGATATTTTTATGCAGTTTGGGTTATTATGTTGAAGAGTGTTCTATGAAAATCTAACAATATCACAAATATGTGTTGATGCAGTTTGTCTTCAGCAATATCACTGAGTTTTGACTGACAGTTCAGATTAATAGTATTTTTTCTTGGCTGCTAATAGACTTACATTAGGTTCCTGAAATATAGTACGTGAAGGCTAAACAGAGTTTAGTGTTTCAGGACCCTTTGGTATTAAGGAATATTAAATATGAGAAGGGATGAGTATAGGCTGTTTACTGAGTTGGAGATGAGAATGAGGGTGATTGTTAGCATTACAAAATATACCCATGAAGGTCCGGGCTAGAATTGGCCTTCAGTAACCCATGCTTGTTGTAAGAGGCAACTAACGGGATCGGGTGATCAGGCTCGCTGACTTGGTTGACATATGTCATCGGTTCCCAATTGCGCAGATCGATGCTCAAGGTGTTGATCACTGGATTGTCTGGTCCAGACTCGATTATTTACAGACCGCCGCCATATAGCTGGAATATTGCCGAGTGCTGCGTAAAACTAAACTCACTCACTCATTACAAAATATGGTCTTAGAGCTATGGTCCCTAGTCAGTAATGATGCATCTGAGAACCCATGGTTATGATCGTTGCATGCAACCTATGCTGGTCTAGGTGGTGACCGAATTGATCAGGTAGTCAAGTTCCGTGAGGTGGCTCTTTACCTGTCATGGTATGCTGTCCAGGTGGAACCTTGCTCACTATATTGATCACTGGATTTTCTGGTCCAGACTTGTTGTATACAGGCTGCTATCTTACAGCTTAAATATTGCTGAGTGTAGTATTGATAAACCACATGAGTGAAGGATACTCTTCTTTTAGGCCATGCTGCAATAACAGTAATTTACTTGTTGGGTTAATTATTCAGGAAACATGTAGGAATATAGGTCATATCATACATCTGTGTTTAGTCCACAAAGTTTGTTGATGATATACTATAATAGCCTATTCTTGTATTGGTGGTGGGGTAGCCTAATGGTTAAAGTGTCCGCTCGTCCCGCTGAGGTTTGATTCCCCACATGGGTACAATATGTGAAGCCCATTTCTGGTGTCCCCGGCTGTCATATTGCTGGAATATTGCTAAAAGCGGCATAAAACCATACTCACTCACTCCTTGTTGTGTTGTCTGTAGTGTTGCTGGTCTTGCTTGTGTGGCCATTGTGGTGCCAACAGTGAATTCTACACCCACCATATGCTGCTTGGTGCTCTTTGACCTACTGCCGTTCTGTGGATGGGTGATGTTGGTCCCACCTGTAGAGGAAGTTATGATTGCAATTGTCAGTGAAAGGCAGAGTAGAAAGTAGATGGCACTGTGGGATTTCCGTGACAATACAGTTGATAATAAAACAGCAGGCCGAGTAATATAAACTCATCATCATCATCAGAGAAGTAGAGCTTGATGATTGTGTCTCTCATAATTTGTAGTTTGAGGTCCTATTAAGCTCTTGGATATAGGATTCTTTCAGCAAAGTGTTACACAGTATATGTCCTTGTGTGCACAAATTTATGAGGTGGTGTACAGCCCACCTATATAGTGAGTGAGCTGGGTTTTACGCCACTTTTAGCAATATTCCAGCAATATCACAGCGAGGGACATCAGAAATGGGCTTCACATATTGTACCCATGTGGGGAATCGAACCCGGGCCTTCAGCGTGACGAGTTTTAACCACTAGGCTATCCAACCGCTCCTCCACCTTATAAAATGTAAAACTGAAATATTACATGCTAGGTAAATCGACATGTGCTTGTTTGCTAGCTGTGTTGTGACCTTGTTGTTCCTTCTGTAATAGGCAGCATGTTGAAAATCACAAGCTGTTGAGACATGGTTCAAGGACAAATGTTTTTAAGTTTAATGGGTGTCTGATATCGGTTGGTAGACACAATATTTGGGCATTCTTTGGGCTACTTTGATGAATACCGTTGTAATGCCAGTATGTTTTACTGCTAAATATTCCCAATTTGAAATATTTTATGTCTCCATAAACATGCTGTTGAGTTTGTAGTCTCTTATTTGCCTTGTCAAAGTTTGATTGTTTAGATAGAAAATACAGAATATAACAGGAATAATGATCACTGACATTGAGCAATAATGAAATATGTATGAAACATTTGTTTTAGTCATTATTGAAAAGTGGATATAAGGATATGTTCTGTTTATGACAATTAGCTTTATTGTGTAATAGCTATTGTGTCGATCACACAATGACCAACGTTGACATTTAGCTGAGGCTATTGATCTGATATATATGTCTCATTTGTTGAGGAGTTTCAAAACATGATGTCATGTCCATGATCGTCTGGGGTCACTCAAGTACATGAGAACAAGGAAATTCCTACCAGTATGTGTTCATCTCTTCTGCTAAGTCTGGGAATCTAATCAGCGAATGTTAGTGATAGTTGTAGTTCTGTGTTCTTACTAATTGTGCCCGACATTTATCTCAGTCGTAGCTTTGTAATTTCGCCCGTATCCACAACTGATAAGACATGTTGACACAGGATTGGATGTTTGTAGTCTCGTCTTGGACAGTGGGATTGACTTGTCAGAAATACTTGATGTAGGTCATGTCAAATAACTCCAATTTCTGGAATTAGTTCCCTGATATTGACTTCATGCAGAATCTTAGTACTTAAGGACCTATTGTTGTGTATTTGGACATTGGTTCACTTTTGCATTATAGAGTATAGGTTCCACCTCAACACTGTTCTTTTCAAAGGGGAGGCGGTGGGGTAGCCTAATGGTTAAAGCGTTGGCTTGTCATGCCGAACACCCGGGTTCGATTCCCCACATGGGTACAATGTGTGAAGCCCATTTCTGGTGTCCCCGTCGTGATATTGCTGGAATATTGCTTAAAGCGACGTAAAACCCAACTCACTCACTCTTTTCAAAGGGGAAAATTTACGGATGTCAACTTTTGTAATACATAAATGTCTTTAAAAAGTTCTTATGCCTATCAAGGACTTCATTGTTCTCTCTAATTTGAATAAACCACAATGACAAATACTAATTATGCATAAAATTCAACTGAAGCTGTTGGTGAAGTTGCAAACAGTTTTATGAACACACGTCGGGAAAGGTTTAACCAGTGCACTGAACGTGTTTGTTTATGTTATATAAAGTGTCAAATGACAGGGGATATACAATGCCACTTTCCTATCAAGGATGTTTTTGTATAGCTACAAAAGGAAACAGGAGCGAAGTATTTGTAGTAGCATGCCTAGCCTCAAACAAGCGAGTAGGCCATTACTTGGAAACCTATGCTTCTGTACATATGGTGTATCAGCTCTGGAATGGTCATTAGGTAGTGCAAGGTACTGACTAGGGAGGGTTAACACATGGGGCTCCAATTTGTCGACTACTACGGTGGATCTATTATTGGCGTAACTGCAACTATCTGGTAATGTTTACTTGAGTGTCATCAGATAGCCGAGTAAGTGGGATACGAGAGTGGGATACAAACGGGGGATATGGGAGGGGGATACGGAGGTAGATGCATGGGAAGGCAGCGGTGATGGTGTGCAGCATGTTTGCGTCATCAGCCACATATGTGGCATTTCCTTCTTCCACTGTCCTTCAGTTTCATGGGGAGCAGGAAATAGGTACCGCACTTCCAAGGAACCAACTCACAGGAAGCGGGAATAGGCCTACGAAATGTCGCCAGCAAAAGGTCATCCCGGGTAACTGCCGTTAATTCAGATGGTGTTGTTGATCATGGATGGCAGTTGGTGTTGAAATCCACTGACATTTTACTGGTGAAATAAATTATTCATGTCATGGACACTAAATTTTCAGTAAAATATTCAGTAGTGCTTATTCCTGGTAGAAGGCTTTCTAAGTGACGGCTTCTCGACAGATAAGAAGCAGCATAGCAGTTAATTTTATCATTATAGTTTTATAATTTGATAAATCAATACACTGAGTACTTTATGAGCAAGATATTCTAGTAAAAAGAATTAGATGAAATAATAAGCTGATGGATGTCAGAGGATTCTGGTATTTGTCTAAAAGTATTGATTTCTTCATATATTTCTAAATGTTCCATTATTAATGATGTTTTAGATATCAGGGACATGGTATGCTACATTGTGTCCCCAGCACCACTTGAAAGTGATAAGAACTCAATGTTGTAGTGATTGCTTGAGGGGCGGTGGGGTAGCCCAGCGGTTCAAGTGTTCACTTGTCATGCTGACGATAAGGGTTCGATTCCCCACATGGGTACAATGTGTTAAGTCCATTTCTGGACTGATATTGCTTGAATATTACTAAAAACGGTATACTACACTCGCTCACATGGCTTGTTGTCAGTGTGTAACGTAGCTGTTGTAGTTTGTTGCACCTTGATGGTGTGGATTAAATCTAGTGCTATCAAAACGACTTTGAATAATCCAAACATATTTGGAGGACATGATGCTCATCTGTTTTTGTGCCCAAAACAGTATTCACCAACACATTCATTAATTCGGGAAATCGAGAATGAACTTCTAAATGTCAAAATATGGTGCCACAAATACAAACAGGTGTTCTAGATTGTTACATTGTTGTATGCAAAAGCTGTCAAAGCCTAGACAAGAGTGTAACCAACAGTGGGATGCCATTGGACGTCATGGAGAGAAACTCGTAATGTATGCTGCAGTTGATACATTATCCGGGATGTTGCGTAGTGTGAGGCTATGACGCAGGTAGCATCACTCACGTGAACAAATGGTTCATTTGTCTTGTGATGTATTGGAAATGAAGTGACCGAACTAATCTGTAACCAATCTAATGGAAGTGGCTATTATGCAGACATCCTTCCCAACTCTATTCTGTTGTTTGTTGTTTAATGCTACACTGCAATATCTCAAGCTATATGACAGCAGCTGGTAAATAATCAAGACTGGATTAGTCAAGCCAGTGATCATTATTGTGTGCAAACAAGCCATGCTGTTATGGTAGGACTGTGTTAGCCAAGTCCCCCAGTCTGACACCTGATCAATTTACCTGCTTCTTGTGTCCAGTATAAGTTGTTAAGGAACTGTTCCTACAATGAATCCCCATGAGGGTGAGAGAGAGAGTTTAGTTTTACGCTGCTTTTAGCAATATTCCAACAATATCACAGCAGGGTACACCAGAAATGGGCCTCACACATTGTAATCATGTGGGGGATCGAACCCGGATCTTTGGTGTGACAAACGATAATGGTTAGAGCATTTAGTCATCATGCAGTTCTGGTTTGATGTGTGAAGATCATCATAAGCGTCTCCAACGGTGATACTGATTGAACAGTGCTCTCATCACTTGTTCAATTAGAGAAAATATGTTACGTCCTTACAATTTCACAATTTTTGTACGTGTTAAAACAGTGTTCACGAATAGTGTTTCAAAGTAACAGGACATTGGGTCCTGTAAGTTTCAGATGTCTGTCTGACCCATTGAAAATTCACAAGACCCATAGAATAAAATTAAACACACATTTCAGATTAAAAAATTTCTTATAATTGGCATTTAAAATTACTTACAAACATAAGATTTATAAACAGCAAACAAGTATCACATGTGACATGTGACATATAACAACTTCAGTCAAAGTCATCGTGAAACATACCGTCAGACACTGGGGTTGTAGATTTCTATCGGACTATCGGAATCTGCCAGATTTGTGAGAGGGTCAGACACTATTCGTGAACACTGGTTAAAACTGTAAAAGGTTATTTAGATGTAGTGGCAAGACGTGTTAAGAGGGATGGTTGGGTAGCCTAGTGTTTTAAAGTATTTGCTTGTCACGCTGAAGACCTGGGTTTGATTCCCCACATGGGTACAATGTGTGAAGCCCATTTCTGGTGTCCCCATCATGATATTGCAGGAATATTGCTAAAAGCGTTGTAAAACTAAACTCACTAAGTGTAAAATACACTGACAGTTGTCTGCTAGTGAAAGGTCATAAAATCAAGAATTTGAATAATTATTGATCTGCGAGTGGTCATAAGTCATAATGCAGAAATGTTTAATCAACCCCTTTTTATATTAACCAACCCCTTACCATGTGTTAACTTCAATCCAGATCAGCCCTGTCCTTCCTACCCCTCCCATTCAGGCAGTACAGCTTGTTATTACCAGCAGTGTTGACCTTGACTGGTGATGCAGGGTGACTGACCCACATCCTATTGATTCCTGCCAATTCCGCAGAACCAGGCCCCTAATTACTAAGGCAGTCGTCTGAGTTGACACATGCCACGCTGTTGCGCTTGTCACTGCCATCACTACTGTTGCTGCAGCTAGAAGCACAGATAAATTGATGTGTCTGTATTAGAAGCTTAGGATTTGGTTAAAAAAGGTCATTTGATCTTTTCTTTGCTTTCATAAAGAGGTTCAGGATCCTTATTTGTAGTATTTAGGTTTCATTACAAGGGTATGGTATTTTGATGCATGGGTGTGAAATTGAAAAAAGTTAACTTTTTTGAAGAAACATGTCTGCCTGCACAGGTGGAAATCAAAGCTTTGCACCTGTCATAGAAAATAACTGGTAGTTGAGTAGTTTGTGCTTTAGTTGACGTCAAATGGTCTGTGCCCTTCTCAGGGATGATATAAGAAAATTGTTCATGGTTCCTTGGAGTCAATGATCACTGAGGTTGATGCAGTAGTGTTAAACAATAATACCAGACTCATCTGCTCACACCAGATAACTGGAATCGACTTCAGATTTTTCCCTTCATATATTTCAGAAATTTATGCATTTTCATTTGCATTGTCGCTTATTGCTCTCTTCTTTCCTCTCCCCCCAACCCCCATTTGTAGTGTGTTGATGCAAGCAGGTTTGTTTACGAGCACAGAGTGAATCAAGGCCTCTGACGCAAGTGTTTATGCTCGACAGCAAGTTTCCATAGTGGGAAGTAGGTCATGCAGCCATTACTACCTGAGAGACTTGATGGGGTGATTGTACTATAAACCGATTGCGTGGGATTTAGTAGTCACGACACACCTTCCAAGAACAGCATTTCCTCGCCCTGCTTCGCGCATCACTACCCCAACTCAATAACAGGTTTTTTCTCTGCCTATTCATGTATGCAGTCCTGGACCTAGACAAGAGAACCAGTGGAACAGGTTTCGATTGACCGACCACTGTATTTCCTTGTATTGAGCTAGGTCAGAGGATTAGGGACTGACCTCAGTGTAGATAGCAGCCTGGGGCTGATAGGAGGCACCGGTTGATAGCTCTCTCTGTCAGAGATAACAGTGTGAAAGCCAGCTAGGTCAGGTGATTGGATTGATACATGCTTCTGTGTGTGTGTGTGTGTGTGCACAAGTTGCTCCTAGTCAGCCAGCTCAGCAAGCTCTTCTCATCTGAACACTGCTGTCCTCAGCAGCTCATTCACAGCTGAACCCCTCCACATCTCCGCCACTACACATCTACAGTACACAGGGTTAGACTGCAGCCAGCTAAATACAGCCCTATGCAGACCCAGATTAGCATCACAAGTGCGTGCCGCCAGGCCACCACTAGTCACATGACCGGCTGTACGACACTCGGCAAATAGAACACAGGCAGTATTGAGGCTGTACTTCCTCCAACGCTGAAAGGGTGCACACATATTTGAGTGCCTTGCCCCACTTCCGATCTAGTGCGGAGAGAAGCGGTGTGCTGTGACGCTGCCAGCCAGCCAGTCAGGACAGTGAGAGGCTCTCTCACTCAGTCTTCTAGGACAGATAGACAGCCGAGTCTGCCTAGTACACACACGGAGATAAGCCACATGCTGACATGGTCGGTATCTGGTAGCTCAGTGTAACTGGACATACAGAGGTTCAGGGAGTGGTGGACATTACTGTGTTTTACATTAGTGAGTGACTGGATTACCCTACTACACGACCA